ATCTTTTTCATTTTCATTGGTCTCCTCCGGCTCTGATGCCTGAAAATACTCATAAATAAGTCACAATCGGTGAGACCAAGACTCAAGCAGTGTTGGGTAAGCGATACTCATTGCTCATAATTCAGCTCAGCTGACTTTGAGTTATGAGCAAGAAGAAACGTAGATGAGACAATAGGCTTCGCTCATATTCAGCGCAGATCTGGAGAATTGGAGAAGCGGTTTGTCGGTGGAAAAGTTATTGGATGCATTTTGAATGATTCACCTTTCTTCTAGAATGGCTTGTTTTTGGAGATAGGCAATGAAGCGTTCATAGTTGGCGATCGTACGTGCGATTAGGCGATTAGGCGATTAGTCGATTAGGCGATTAGGCGAGTAGGCGATAAGGGAAGGATACGTATTGATTTGTTGCTCCGCCCATTGAGCGATCGCCTAATCGCCTAATCGCTTAATCGCACGTGCGATCGCCAACTCTGAACGCTCCATAAATCTGTGCGTATCCAATATTTCCACGAATTCTCCAGTTCGACGCTGTGTTTGAGCTCGATCTAACTCAGTGATCAGTAACTATGTGGTCCTGATAAAGCTCTGTTTATTATTCAATATGCACAGATCTCCATCGCTACCAACAGGGGTCAACCTTTTTGAATTGAAGCGGTGAGCTGCTAGTACCGAGTGAGCAGCCAGAACAATCGAGCGAAAAAAAACAGTTACAGGGGTTGGGTGCAGCAAGCCTCGACCAGAGATGGGTCCATAACACTCTGCATTTCCGGATAAATCCTCCTATTCTTGCCTATGGAGACTGCCTCACCGACCGGAGTCTAGACGCTGGGTTTTGGAGGCCCAACCTCGGCCGGGGCTTGCTGCATCCTGCCCCAGAAAAGGCAGCCAACCCCAACAGACTACTCCGGAGCGATTTCGATCCGAGATGGGTGGACGGAGATTGGAACATGTCATTTAGAAAATATCAGAGCGCTGTTCAGCTTCACCGCCTAACCTTCAAAAATACAATGGACCCTATAATCTCAGGAGTACCTCTACGATTGAGAATGATGGGTTACTTTGTGGTGTGAACCGAATTAAACGCTTATGTAACTCCCTTATGTAACTCGTCAAGGATTTTTGCTCTGTGATTAAGCAGAAGAAAATTCCACACTTTTTGTCGAAAGTGATGAACTTGCCTGAATATACCGTTTTTTCAATGTTAAGAACCATGCTAGCGCCATTGTACCACCGCTCAAGGCAGCAATGCGGCTGATAGGGAAATCTTATCATTTAAAGTTTATTTCTGAGGCGCGTGAGCGTTTACGGAAGCGGAATAATGTTTTGAGATCTTGAACTAATCGGAAGTGCGTTTTATGGCTCTGCGAATGTTGTTATTGACCATGAAAACAAATAGGGAATGGAACCGAACCTTCAATGAAGGGAAACCACTCGAAGGCTCACTTTCCCTTTTGTTGTCCATTGGCGAATCATGAGGCAGCCTAGGATCATTCGCCGCTGGTGTGAGGGCGTAGACAGAAGAGATATAGCTGGACATAAGGAGAATCAGGCCCTGCCATTTCAACGTAGTTGACCGTAGTGGGAGACGTGCGTTTCTCCTCCTGGGGTCAGGTCACCACAGTTGCGCGATCATTGAAGCTTAAGGTTAAGTTTGGGTTTAGACTTAGGTTAAGGCTTATGCTTACACATTGGCTTATGCCTAAGCCTATGATTGGGCCTAGGCTTAGTCCTAAGCTTGCTCCGAGCGAATGAACGGCGTCCTCAATTCTTAGGTGACCTGACCCCACGTGGAGGAAACGTACCACTGACACCTCGTAGTCCAAGTCATAGCAACTCGGCTCTTTTTCACGCACGTTCTGAGTTCACGCAGCTAGCACTACCATCCACGGGTATGTACCCACTACGCGCCTTCCAAAAAGGTTGCTGCTCTGAGTCGCCGTTAATTGATCGAAGAGAGGCCCTTTTTTCCTTCGCGGCAGCAACAGGAGTTCTGAAAGGCCTAATACTTCTACTGGAAACCTGGCCCCAAATTTAGTTCACCGAACGGGAGAAAAATAGTATCGAAGAATGCTGAGGTTCCAGAAGATACTTCGTATGTTTTCGATTTACCTAAATAAATAGTTCAAACTCGAGCAGTATTTAGGAAGATTTTTCAAGAAATCAAGTTTTGACCTATATACACTAGTATCATCACTGTGTGAAAGAATCAAATCGGACATGCAATAGAGTCAGTAGTTTCATGCAAAGCAAGTGTTAGCCGATAATTCTGAGACATTTAAATGCACCTGACAAAAAAGCTCACTTGTCGACGTGATTCTCCTTGTCTTCAGCGTTTGCTTTGCACTGTATGTGTAAGTATAGGAAAACACACAAAACAAAATGTTAGAAAATTGTTATTTTTGTCTTACCTATTATAAAAAAAAGCGCAAGATTACACCTACATAGCCCTTGGGATGGATCCCCGTAAATAGCGAATTAGTTTTTTTGCCTTACTTTACTGCAGGCTGACGCACTGCATGCTCACGCGCTGTCTAATCTAATTGTTGTGTTTCGATTCCGGCAATGCTGGAGAGGAGTCAAGTGCATGGCGCACACCTGAAGTATTGTTCACTTTTTTCTGCCCTGGGAGGAAGTAATCCAATAACCGCCATTTCGTTCTAGGGAAGCCGATTAAGAGGTACAGTCTCATACCGAGTCCCCACGGAATACTGGATAAATCAGGTCATACCTGAAACCCCGGTCCCAATGCTACCTTTCCAAGTGTGTGCAGCCTTTCTTCTTCCGCAATGGAAGTTGCCCACCAAGCTACGCATTTCAAAGCGAAATTCAGATTAACCCTATAACGACATTGCCGAGTTTGAAGCAGGCTCATGGGACCACTCCTCTCCTGGCGCGCTCAACTTTGGGCAAAATTGTCCCTGAAAGAGTTGTTCTATCGAATTTTCGTCCTTAGCAGTATACCAAATATAACCGCAACTTTGAGCTTTCATTCAATTGTTGCCATATTATTGGTAAGAGAATCGGAAGTTTGAAAGAGGGATTTTCAGAGGGATGGAGGGTGGAAGCTTCAGAATTTTATGTGTACGGTAGAATTTCTGATACTCTTCAAACCCCTTCCTGTACTGAAATGACGAGGAAGTCCAGATCTGTAGCCCATTAATGCAAAACCCCAAATTAATACGCGGGGAGCTAATGGCACATTCTAAAATTCTATATAAATTAGCTCTTATTGAACATTTCTGTAAACCATGCTATACATAGATATTATGAAGCTTGCTTATAATCAATGAGAGATCAAAAATGTAGTGAATGCCAAAGAAGAAGCTGCTGAGGTGGCACCTACTGGTGGCTGTCATTGTCCCTCTAGGCGGACAGAGTGGCACCCACCGGTCAAGAAGGTCAAGAAGGTTTAACTATCTCTTCATACGTTACCTAGCCCGCCAGTCGACGGATTATTCGATCATAAGTCTTTTCCCTCCCTTTCTCCCATCCCTATAGTCCTGATCCTTTTGAAGGTGGAACAATAGCCCGCAAAGCACCACTAAAAGAAGAGATGTTCATTTTGGTGTGATGCAATAGCTGGAGGAGGGTGAGAGGGAATTTAGGTCAAGCATCAGCTTCACGGATGGCCGCTGAGGTGCTGCTCAACGTCCCATTGATGGTGAGTCACATCAAGTAACACGCCGAGCTATTATCGTATTAGCTTGGGGATGCTGTAAAATGTCTTATTTCAAATTCGTAATCCACTCCATACCAGTCACACTGCTTTCACATTCTAGCTTGCTCATCAACGCACGCATGATCAATCGATATCGATCGCAAGCGCGTAAAATCGATATTTGTTCATGTGCGCGCCACTGGAGCAGCTTGAAATGTGGCAGCAATCATGCATAAAATCCAGCAAACGGATGCTATTAATAGGGCTCAAGATGTTCTTAGTCCGTTAGAAGAAAAAAAATGCATCAAGATTTTCAAGCTCACCTTGGGTGGTGTGAGCCGAAGGAATTCATGTATACGGTCATCTTCGACGGCCTCTTCAAAATCGACAAAATTCTAAATAAAGAAACTAGGCTTTTCAGAATTCTGCCGTGAAAAACAAGTGTAGATGTAACCTTCAGCTGAGGTCACCGCTACTTACTCCTAGATATTCCTCATTGTAGAAAAACTGCGGTGGGAGCGGATTACCTTTGACATTTTCTCTGTTGGCATGCTCTCTCATGAACATCCGTTGAACTTCATTACCTGGAATGAAAATTAACTAGGGATGAACTCCACAAAACAAACGCGCACTGCTTTTTTCTTACTATTCATCTGAAGGCGGTGAGGTGCGAGCCAACCCCAGCGCGCGGGAGCCTGGGTTGGACCGTCAACCAACCAAAGTCAAGAGCCATGTTGGAGGAAATTCGGAAATCAGACGACCCACGCTCAAGTGTGACTCCAACACGACCCCTGCCACGGTGGGATCCACCGTGCCTCATTTGACATACTCTGAGGCTGTATCCTCCAAACTTCATAACTGCGTCGTGCTGAAGTTGGCAACTGGTGATATTGAAATGATTTTTCGAAAGTTCCTCGAATTTCGTAGAAATTTCCAACTTTTCAAAAATCTGTTTCTCCTAGTGATATTCCAAAAATACGACCCATTCCCTCTCTAGAACTCAAAATGTGACTCGCAACGACCGTTCTCATTGAATAATATTGACGGAACCTTCCAACACCGAATGTCTCTGAACTGGCTTCGTTCCCTGGCTCAGTTCTCTAAAGATGAGTTATCAGATTTCAAGCGAAATCATAGATTGCTACTTTCCAAAAGATCAGCCGAACCCAATTGTAATTTTTTGGAGGAGAGGATCCTATAGAATGCAGTTGTAAGCATTTAATCTGTCTCACCCTTTCAGAAGGGTGGAGGTGATGTAGTGACAAGAGGCGCCACTTCTCACTCATGGTCCGGGGTCAATCCTCAGATCGATTCTCGCCCAATCTGACCAAGACTTCGCTTCTTTGGAGCCCGGTCTGTTGGTGCCGAAATTCGTGGGAGACATAAACACTAGCTTGTTCATCGGCTGGACCTGCGAGTCACTGCGCAGGCCATGCCATATTCAAAAGCCACTACGATTGTGAATGCAAGAAGAATGCGTGGCGCATCACCGAAGGAGTCGCTTGTTGCCGAAAGCTCCATTCTTTTCCCTTTATCACCACTAAAAGCCTCTGAGACGATAAGCAGGCTTGGTGGGCAATAACGGGTTTGAATGTAGGAGAGCCAATCAATGGTGCTGCCTAATTTTAGCGTAAACGATACGAGCATTGCCCCAATCCCGTAGCTCATATCCGTCTTATCGTCCAAAGGGCCATCACTCATATGTATGTAGAACCTTTTCGCTTCTTTTGAGGCACCATTATCCTTCCAACTGGCCGGCCTTCAGTTTCGTGGTCCCCGAACAAGAAATCGAGCTCCATCTCCTTGTTTACGTCTTCTCCGACGCGTTCAACCGTTTTATAGCTGCGCCAAGGGTCGCTGCCCATTTGTTACCGTCCTACTGGGACCATTTCGTATTCATTCCTCAGACTCGTGTTCGAATACAAACAGCAGAGGAAGGCTCCTAACACGAAAAGCGTCCATTACTCATTGATGGGTCCACATGAAGTATACGTAAAGTAATCTCTATGACCGATCATGGAAAACATCATCTTTAGGAAGAACGTTTGGGAGTTCGACAAAATGAACTTAAGAAAAGTGAGTTACTCGGTGCTTGGTAATCACTTTGCGACGCGCCATGCATTCGACTTTTGTAAAAAAATACGTAAGGTGTTTGAATAAAGTCGTATAGTGATTAAACGAACATATGGAAGGGGCGGAAGTGGTGTAGTGGCAAGTGGCACGCTTACCACGCGAGCGGTCCGGGGATCAAATCCTGGGTCGTGAGTCGCCCGGGCCAACCAAGCCTTCCATCCCTCCGGGGTCGACTGACTTGTACATCGGCTGGCCCCCGCAAGTCATTGTATAGGCCACATCGCATTCAAACGCCACTACGAATGTACAAATGGAAGTAGAATGCGTGCCGCATCCCAAAAAGGGATTGATCAACGGCAAATGCTTTATCCTTTTTAATTTGAAGCGTCAGCGCAGTAGCGCATCACTACTGATATATGTCATTAAAGGCATACCCCAGGATCAAACTGGAGTGGTTCGTGTCGGAAACTTTTGCGTTAGAGGAAAAAAAGGCTCGCCTCCGCTATGTGGCTTTGCTGAGG